AAACTTTGTAAAAACCTTGCAAACTTTGTAAAAAATTTGTAAACTTTGTAAAAACTTTGTAAACTTTGTGAAAACTTTGTAAGCTTTGAAAAAACTTTGTAAAAACCTTGTAAACTGTGTAAAAACTTTGTAAACTTTGTAAAAACCTTGTAAACTGTGTAAAAACTTTGTAAACTTTGTAAAAACTTTGTAAACTTTGTAAAAACTTTGTAAACTTGAAAAAGCTGTTGTAAACTTTGTAAAAACGTTGTACAACTTTGTAAACTTTGTAAAAACTTTGAAAACTTTGTAAACACTTTGTGAGACTTTGTAGACTCCGTAAAAATTGAAAAACTGTGAAAATTCCGAACTTTGCAAGAACTTTGTCAAATTCCAAAGCTTTCTAAAATCGTTGTAAACTTTCAATGCTGTGCAAAAACTCTGTAAACTGTATCAACTTTTGTGAAAGCCTTGTAAACTATGTAAAGTTTGCAAATGTTTGTACACTTTGAAAAAACTCCATGTAATTTTGTAAAATTTGCAATCTGTGTAAAGATTTTATAAACTTTGTACAAACTTTGTAAACTTTCAAAACTTTGCAAAACTGTGTAAACTTTGTAAAAACTTTGTCAACATTGCAGCAACATTGTAAAACTTTCAATACGTCTTTAATTGATTTTTTAATGGTAAAACCTTTGTAAACTGGGTAAACTTTGGAAATTGTTCAAAACTTTGCAAACTGTGTAAAAATATTGTAAACTTTGTAAAACTTTGTAAACTTGGTAAACGGTTGTAAAACTTTGCAAACTTCATAAAATCTGTGTAAAACTTTGTAAACTTTGTCAACACTTTGTAGACTTTGTAAAACATGTTTAAACTTTGTAAGCTTTGTCAACCTTTAAACTTGTAAAACTGTGTAAGAACTTGGTAAAACTTTATTAAGACGTTGTAAAATTCGCAAACTTTGTAAAAGGGTTTACAAACCTTTTACGAAGTTTTGGAGTTCTTCAAATTATTCTTCAAAGTTAGAGCAACGATTTACACAGTTTTTAGAACGTTTACAAAGTTTTGTATTTTTACAAAGTTATACAAAGTTTACAAAACTTTCACAAAGTCTTAAGAATTTGTACAAAGTTTGCAACTTTTGCAAAGAGTTGACAGAGTTGTTGAATTACAAACAAACTTACAAAGGTTTACAACGTCTACAAAGCTTTTACCATGGCCGTTCACTCACCACTCACGAGACAAACAAACCTATGAAATAGTCCTTTGGGTCTCGTATGTTGCCACTAACAACGCAAAAAAAACAAGACGTGTTTTATACCCTCTCTTAGTTCTGAACAACCAATTCTTCAGAGGTCCGCAAGGGTCAAAAACACTTCTTCTGCGCTAATTCCCCCGAAGCAACGAACGACGGTCCCCAAGCAACTTAACAGTACTTTCTTTTTTGAGCATGCTAATGCTATATACAGTGATGTACCCTCCATGACCCTTTTGGTTTCAACATGTGGTGATCCAATTTTGAAACGCGGTGCGCTCAGGAACTGTTGGAGATGTTTCAGAAATCAGCGGCAGAGTCTGACACCGAGTGGCTGGCTGGGCGTGGCTGGTATGGAACGATGGTGATGGACCCGTGTTCCACGTGTTTTTCCGAGGCAGAACTGTCATGTTTTGGAGGATTGAGGATATCCTACTGAACATGAACATGTATGGAAACATGTTACTGTAATTCAACATTAAATGTTGTTTGTTTAACAGTTGTTTTCTTGGGGAAAACAAGAGGATCAGTGTTGCTTGTAGGAGGCCACCTGATCATTTGATACGCCTGCCTTGATAGCTGTACCACCTACCATCACCTACAGCCAGTCTTTACCATTCGCTCCATGGAGACCAAAGACCGGCCACGTAGGACGAAGACCTGCCACGAGTAGGACCGTTGGGTGTCCGCCTTGGATCTACGATTCACAAGCTGATCTCTGAATGAACAGCCCATTTGAAGGCCATCGTTTCGATGTGACTGGTGGCAGGGGTGGAAAAGGCACTGACATCTGAGAGCCGGGTCAGTGCCTTTGTGGTGATTGGCTTGCCCAACCTGTGATATAATACATGTGTTCCTTCCAGATCCTGGAGTCATTGCTGCTTGTCAATTGATCCGCTTGTCAAACGGATGACTTCGTTAGCAGCTCGCCAGCTGTCAAAAAAACAGTTTGGAACTATGGCATGAGGAGCCAACCAAAAGCAGGCTCACGTGTACTCCTTGCGTACCTGGCTCTCGGACTTGTTGCATTTGGTGACAGTGGCAGGTGGCGCAGGAACAGGGCATCCTTCCTGACATGCACTGGGTGTTCACTGCACCAAAGACACATCTTTGATCATCTTTGCAATGTGCTTAGATTTGACCCCAAGACGTGAATCCGGGGTATGTTTGGTGACCTTGCACGTGCTTTCTTGATTGACATCCAATCCATCCAACCCACAGCCAGTGTTTGATCCCTATATAGCTCATATATCGCCGCTTGATCCATGCGAGGAGTGCTGAAGTTTTTAGCCTGCCGACCATACAGAACTTTGCATGAAAACATAAACTCCAGGCCACATCGGATTGAACAAACTTAACTCCTTCTTGGTGGAGTATGACGAATCTCCCCTAAACCCTAAATCCCGTCCAAGAATCACAGTGTTTCCATTTGTTGGTGCACATCACCATCCTCATGTGTGCCGCCCAGGTATGGGATCCTCCCCTACTGCCGCCTAGAGACCGAAGTGAAGGCACTGGGCCCATGGGCAAGTGCCAACTGGGCGGGAGAAGATCCATTTCAGTGGGGGATGGAAGTATCCTCGGTTGAACCTTGCAAGGTGACAGCGGGGTGTGTTGGTGTGTTCGAAGCTCAAGTTCAAAGTACCCTAGGGATTCCAAGAACCGTTTGAGTCCCGGTCCCAACCAGCTGCGTTTTCGTAAGGGTTTTACACGACAAAACTAGGTCAACCTGATGACCAAGGTTCGACCAATAAAGTCTACTTCCTGGGTGCGACTGGGGTGGGCGGCTACGGACTCAGTGTTTACCTCAAAAGGCAGTTGCTGGTGGCTGGTGTGCAACAGGGACAAGACATGGACGTTTCTTGAATGTCAAGACCTAAAGGGTCCATCATGGATGAGACAAGCAACATATAAATGTCAAGTGTTCAATGAGTTTTAATAAGTACTATATGTTTGATTATTTTTGATGTGTTCTTTCTTTGTTAGTTTATCCTTTCTACCTTGACCCTCCAAGGTGTGTTGCCCCACAAGTTTGGTGCCCAGAAAATACACGCGAGTCGTGTGCCAGTTGTTGGGGGTTCCAGAGAAGGATTTTGGGTTTCACCATGTTGTTTTGTAAAGATAAGGTTATATAATGTTGTATAACTCCCAGAAGTACAAGCGCTATGTGAGTCACTCAGAAGATGGGGATGTATATCAGAACTTGAGAACTTTTGTGTGACTCAGCCATTGCTAACCGGGTTTCGGTCTCGTGGCAGAGCATGGCAGAGCTGTGGATTGAGGGCCTTGGTCTAACAAAAGGGTCAATGGATCATCTGATATTGCTTGAGTCCCTGAATGTGAGAGTGGAGGCCAAAAATTTGTTGTGAAAAAAATATTTTATTGGTGTATCCCATTGCCGGTAACAGTCGGGTAACAGGATCACTACATGTTGTCACTATGTTTTGCAGAAAGGCCTGCAACTGATCATCATCCACTGGGCCATGGTGGGATTTGTATTCTGCTAGGGGGCCTTCAGAAGGCACCTGGTACCGCGATGAAGCAAGAGCTTTTTGGTAGATGTCGGTGCTTTGTGGAAGCAACTTCAGTTAGAGATATAATCCGAAAATGGGCTGGTATGTTCTTAATATGTTTTTCCGTTTGCAACTTTGCTCATTCTGGAAAAAGTATTATTCAATAGCATCACTTGCATTGTTTGCCAAAAGGTCCTTCAAAGCCTTCTGCTGCATTGCTTGTAGTTCTGAAATTTTGGGAGATGGTGCCAGGCTGGGGTTCTTGCAGGCTTTCAGGCCAGGCAAATGACCCAGCGCAACCTTTGCCCAACACCAATAATGTGAGGCTTTTAGCTTCAAAAATGCGTGCCCTCATCATCCTGATGTAAGAGACAAGCATGCATTTTCACTACTGGGCCATTTCTGTAAGATAGCACTATCTGTTCACCGACCTGCATTGGGTCAAACAAACAGCTTGAGCACAGAACCTCACACATCTTGTGTTATGTTTGCAAACATGAGCACAAAAGTCCTGGCTCTAGGCTCTATGGAAGCAAATTTGGGTGGCTAGCAAGCATGGCTTTGGCGGAGTTCACCAAGGCCGTCTTGTGATAGGAGAATGAAGAGAGTCTCTTTGGGCCGGACGATGTGATGTTCGCGAAGGGCGTCCTACGAAGAAAGAACATGCCAGGACACTCCGAGCAGCGAGGGACTCCGGTTTGGCGACGCCGCTCAGTCCTTCATGACAACAACCTGGACTTCAGCGAGGAACAGGCCATGCGAAACGTGTCCCACTGGAAGCACGGCGGGCGAGCATGCGTCCCAGATGTGCTTGAGTCAGCCTCCTTCTTGCGCACACCGTGCAAGGAAGTATTTGGACCACCCCAGGCACCAACGCATGCCGCGGATGCCCAGCGGCGTGCCACTCCAGTCGGAGTGGGTTGTTTTCTGTCCATGTGCTTCCGGACATCCCGAAGAAGGAACCCACAGCTGCCACTGATGGCAATGAAGGTTGCCCCCATTGAGACGCAGGCACTGAGGCTCCAGCTCCACTACTGATGACAAGTCGGTGACAAAGGACAATCTCACCTCACCTCTCGACTTCCATCTCATCATTGCTGGGAATCATTGCTCCTCGACTTCTTCGCTCCTTTTTCAGGCAGTCAAAATTAAATGAGCTGGGACATTGCGTTCATTTTTGACCATTATTGAACAAAGTCCTATTCCGCAACTCTCCATTCTTCTGAATTTTTTCTTCAGCAACTATTTGGTACTTTTCCGCAACTACTCTTCAGAAACATTCAGAGACTATTCTTCAGAAACTATGCTGCGATCTTTCGAAACTATGTCGCGATCTTCAGAACCAATGAGAGCCGTCTCTCTACCCCGTCGGAGTTCGGAGACCGTTGTTCCGCAGGAAGTGAAGGCTGAAGGGCAAAAGCTGGACATGAAATACGCCGCTCGGAGGAGTTTTCACTTGGTTGCTGTTCCGGGCTGAGTGGGGTGTTGGGGTTGGTTTGGGCCTTTCCAAAGACTTCCTGGCGGAGTTGGGTTCTTTCGGCGGATGGGAGGGTCGACTTCCAGCCAGCCGGAACCGGAATGCCAATGGCCTGCGATCGCGTGGTGACCACGGCGTCCGCGTAGACGTCACCGTGGTCTGCGAGCTGAGGAAGTCATCATCCATAAGGTTGGCAGCACACAGGAGCGCCTTTCAGGTGGTGTCATAGTGGGTGATGGATGCGGAAAGCAACGGTTGGAATGGACTTTGTATGGGAAAAAAACAACAACAGGAAGATCTACTGTATAGGTCTGAAAGTGGTTGCACGTGAGGTAATAGAGACCGTGTGTATTTGGGCCAGCAGGATCATACATGATCCTCCAATCACATCAAATCCAGGAAACCCTGCACCTTGTCAGCTTTTGATCTCTCAAAAGAGTGACTCCCCCTTGCAGCAGGCTTCTCGCCACACTTGAAACTGTCAACTCCATCCATCTATAGATCGGTATGGATCCCAACATAATCATATCCCAATCAATCCCAATCAGCATAATTATGTGTATAGGGTTTGTCCTATTACCTGTAACAGTCAGTAAACAATGATCACTACTTTTGGACAAGGCCTTTACTAACCATCATCATCCACAGTTGCAGGTAATAGGATAGACCCAATATGTGTGTATATATACACATATACTGGGTGTTGATTTCACTCATGTTTACGTTCAACCTCTACTTGGGATGATTGAACCCACTGACTTAATACTATTCAAGTGAATTGACACCACCAACCAATATATATATATAGATTATAGATCTGACACCACCAACCCAGATACATATATATATAGAGAGAGAGAGATCCACACATCGGTTACTTCATCAGAGACGGACCTTCTCGGGCTCTCTGCTCGCAGGAGGAGACGCTGAAGGCGGCGGGGGTGATGATGTACCCGGGCAACTTGTCCCTTCCACGCCCGGGAGCCCGGCCCGCACGAAGCTGGGGAGCACTGGGTTTCGCAGTCGATGGACACACCAGTGCCGGTGAGGATGCCGGTGAGCACAGATCAGCCGGTGATTTGGATGGTTTGCAGGGAAGACTAGATGGAACCCCATGGTTCCTTGAGTTCTATATTTGCGTATGTGTGTTTTTGAGACATCGCCACATTCAGATCAGGGAGACTCCAAAGATCACCTGGTCATGCGTTCAGAGTTCGACAAAAAGTATGTCAAAACTATATAGAGAGACCACAAATGGTAGAAGAGCAGCACAAGTCTATTCCAGATCATGAACTATTGCTGGTGAGGTCACTGAGAATATCGCAATGTCAACCGAAGCTGGTGGCCTGTGGAAAGCAAGCCCAAAACGAAAAACACCATGGAAAGAAACCAGGACTTCTCCTGGCAGCTCCTAGCAATGAACTGTTGGCTTGTATATTAACTTCGTAGAAAGGTTCACCCGGGTCTGGCCAAGTGGTTGGGGTTGCTACCCAACAACAGCATAAAGGCTCAGGCAACTCTGGTCAGGGCATAGATCAGTGACTTGATCAGCAGGGCTTTCAGAAACGACTGACAGATTGATTCATGTCCAAGTGTTGACCATCGTCTATGTTTAGCAACTTCACATCTTTGCTCAGCCACGGTGTTGTCCCAGTTGTTGTAGACCACTTGGGAGTGCAGAATATACATGCAGCTCAAAAATGAAAGTCGGAAGAGGAGAAGGGTATTTTTGTTCATGCTTCCAATTGCACTTCACAGTGGTTCTATTGTTTCTCGTTTTTGTTGAGGAAGATCATGCAAAATCCACACATTTCCGTTGTTGTTGCTGTTGTTTGATTCACCCCCTGCGTTGATGTCTTGATCCTATTTAATCCTGCAGGGAGAGAGGCCTACAAGGGCGAGGCGCCGGGTTTGACGAGCACATATGGTTGATGACCAGAAGTGCTGGGGTTTGCAAGGGGCGTCATATGTTTACAAAACGGGAAGACCCCCCAAGCAGTTGGCGGTCATGTTCTTTACCCATCCATGATGGTTCTTAACTATGATATAACATGATATTTATGTATATTATATATGTACTCAATGAGCCAAGGCAAGGAAATTCATCTAGACTACCTTTTTCCAGTTTTTTTCCTGGCTTTTGTTGCCTCACTCTTGGGTGTGCCAGCCAAGAGGTGTCTCAAAATGCAAGACACACGGTCGAAGACCCCAGGACGAACACCCCAGGTTGTCCCATGAGTTGAGACAAGACTCAGATGACCTGAGCCAAGTTGTTTCGGCCAGATGTTGAATGAGTCATCTTTCTTCCTAACATCCACCCACCTTGAAAGAAAACCCTGCCGTAGGACTGGAAGACTGGCTTGGCTCACAACAGGGGGTCATTGCAAGGTTCTATTAGGGGCTAAAGGGGTTCCCAAGCATGGCTTTTTTTGAGACGACTTCCCAATACCAATTCAAGAGGAGATTCCGTTGAAATAGAAACAACCTTCCTGCCAATACCACGCGTCTCGACATTCGATTCAGTTGTTTGACTTTGGGGAGCCCGATCGATGTGGACGCTTCCTTCAATCGATTGCTGCGATCGCACGGCCCGCACATGTTCTCGTTGCTGCTCCGGGAGACTCGATGGACACCAGGAGGAGTTTGGCGGCACCATCGCCTACGGCATGTTTGATGAGTTTGGATACAAGGAGGCGATGGATAATCCGTGGATTTGTTGGGAGTTCGATGGAGTTCGTTTGTTTCGCTCATTGATTTATGGCTGGTTTCACGTTCTTTTTGGAGCTTCACTTGGCACCAAGACTCTTTCTACCCACGTTGCAGGTGATTTTTGTCATCCTCTTTCCACCACCTCACCCCTCCGTGCCCTTGGCCCATCTCGCCAGGCACGTGGGAAGGACATCGCCATCATCGGCCACGGGGCCTTTGCCGTAGAGAACGTGACTGGACCAGCGATTTCGGCGGGCGGGGTTGGGCCGACGGACTGACGACAAGGCGGTGGACGCGAGGACGATGGGAGGCGCGCTTTTTTGTTGTTGGGGGGAGGCTTTGTTCACACGGATCCATACACTGTGTTCATAACACCCATAACAACACACCCCTTTTGGGAGGCTTTGGTTATTTGGGGCGGCTTTTCCATACATCACACTGTACATGAGAATCTATGTCATACTTACACCCATACCCGGCCTTCGGTTAAGGGGTGGGTCTTAGCGGTATCCGAATCCGTGTAGAGGAAAAGACCATCTTTCCAGTGGCCATGGGCTTCCACTTCCATAATTCCATGCGGAATAGGAAAAAGGCTTTACAAGGAATAGCCTTTTTCCACTCCTACACTCCATGTTTTCCACTTTTTCCAGTAGGCTTTACAAGCTTCAACTCTGCAAAACTCCCAAGTCCAAATTAGTGAGTGTTCTTCCATTGCAGCGGCCCATCGCCATTGACGCTTTCACAACAGGCAAGTCTATTCCACATGTTTCGTGCCACAAATATCTGACACAAAATGCTTTTGTTTTTGTGAAGCTCATGATATCAATGTGCAATTCTGCTACACCAGCACGATAGTTACTGTAGTTAGCCTCCTGCAGCTATTTGATTCAACATCTCAAAGCATTCTTTGAACTGGTACTTTTGCTCTCCCTGACGCGATTCCTGTTCTCATCCTGACACGATGCTTTGCTCAGGTGAGAAGCTGCTGCGAATATGACAGCCATCAGATCTATTTGGCCCGGGCCCTGCCGGCCCTGCCGGGGTCGAGCGTGGAGGAGATGGTGGATGGTCCAGTGGATGGTCCATCAGATCGATCAATCCCCATTAGCACCAGACATAGTGGTTGGGTCGTTGGTGTGTGGTTGAACTAGTTTGCTTTAACCAATAAGATAGTTGGTTTAAGATAGTTTAAGGTCATCATGTTTTGGGTAGGATCTATAGTTGGTTTTAAGATAGTTGCGATAGTTGGTTTGCCCAATTTTGGCCAATCTCAGATTCTTTGAGAACTGAAACAGATCGATTCAAGGCTGTGTTCGTGTTGATGTTCCTTTTTCACCAAGGCCCTTTTTCTGGATTTGAACGAGAAATAGAAGAGAAGCCTCCATGAGGCTTGCCCAGTGGGCCCGGCAACACATTTTGTTTGTTTTCTTCACTCATTTGGGGACCTTTGCGAGGTATCCGGTATTGTCCACTGTCCTCCTTCAAGACGTTCAAGAGCCAGTTTGCCAAACATCGTCCGGGATGGGAGGGGTACGTTACAAAGGTGATCTTTGAGTTATAAAAACTCAGCTGCAGAGCACTCAACTCTCCTATATATGATAATGCATGGGTGTTGCCCTTCCCTTTTCTCTTCGACATCGGCCATGCGCCACAGATTTGTCGGCGGAAGAACATCGCTTGCCCTCGCTATGTGTCCTGGTTGTGCAACCAGCCCGGGAAGCCCAGGGAAGCCCTGTTTTGCTTGGGGGGATTGAATTGTTGAAGCAGCATGCAGGAGCACCCAAAAGGATATAAACTTGGGATAGGGATGGAGCATAGTGGCTGGCCCACCCATGGGTATGTTTCGTTTGGTGACGTTTGGAAGTTGTTCGAAATGATCGGCCTACTGGCTGCTTGCGAAAGACCAGAAACTAGATCTGTCAGATGAGATGCAAGTCATGGACAACCGGTGT